GCAGCCGCTTCATGCCGCTCGGATTACTCTATATGAGACCACTTCAGCACTGGCTTCACGATCGAGTCCCCAGACGCGCATGGCACGCGCGCGCACACCGAGTCTCTGTTACTGCGCTGTGTCGCCGCGCCCTCAGCCCTTGGAGCGACCCCTTGTTCCTACAGGCCTGGGTGTCTCTAGAACAGGCGTCCAGTCTTGTTGTTGTTTCAGCAGACGCTTCCAACACGGGCTGGGGGGCTGTGCGTTGCGGGCATGCGGCTGCGGACCTGTGGAAAGGTACCCAGTTGCATTGGCATATCGCCTGGAGCTGTTGGCAGTGTTCCTCGCTCTCCACCGTTTTTTTCCGGTGCTGGAGCGGCAACACGTGCTGGTCAGGACGGACAGTACGGCGGCGGTGGCGTATATCAGCCGTATGGGGGGTATGCGCTCTCGCCGCATGTCTCAGCTCGCCCGCCGTCTGCTCCTCTGGAGTCATCCGCGGCTGAAATCGCTGCACGCCATTCATATTCAGGCAAGCTCAACCGTGCAGCCGATGCGCTCTCACGGCAGCCTTACGTCCTGGAGAATGGAGACTCCACCCCGAGTCTGTTCAGCTGATATGGGCGCGATTCGGGGAAGCCCAGATCGATCTGTTGCTTCCCCCGAGACCGCTCATTGCCAGCTGTTCTTTCCCTGACCGAGTGCTCTCGGCACGGATGCACTGGCTTACAGCTGGCCTTGGGGCATGCGCAAATACGCGTTTCCCCCAGTGAGCCTGCTCGCGCAGTTACTGTGCAAGGTCAGGGAGGACGAGGAACAGGTTGCTGGTTGCGCCCCTCGGGCTCAACCGGACCTGGATGTCAGAGCTCTCCCTCGCGATAGCCCTCCCCTGGCAGTTCCTTCGAGAGAGCACCTACTCTCTCAGGGACAGGGCACCATCTGGCACCCTCGCTGATCTTTGGAGGTCCTTAGACGCGAGGAAGACTTAGGTAACCTCCGATTGCGGTGGCTAATACCGTCACTCGGGCTAGAGCCCCCTCCCCGAGCGCGCCTATGCCCTGAAGTGGAGTCTATTCACTGAATGGTGTGTCTCTCGCAGAGAAGACCCCCGTAATTAGCCAGATCAGCGTTGTGCTTTCTTTACGCCGAGAGAAGCTGGAGAGCAGGCTGTCGCCCTCCACACTCAAGGTTACGTGGCTGCCATCTCCGCTCTCATAACGCGGTGGCTGGCAGCAACGTGGGACAGAGCCGAGGTGAGCCGCGTCCCCCGAGAGTGCGTGCACACTCCACTCGGAGCTTTGCATCCTCTCGAGCGCGCGCACGCGGCGTCTCTCTAACAGACATCTGTAGAGCTGCGGGCTGGGTGACACCCAACACATTGCAAGGTTTTACAATCTGCGAGTGGAGCCGGTTTCCTCAAGGGTATTAGGTAACCCTTGGTGATTGAGGAAACAATTCGGTAGGGTGTTGAAACACGCTTGCTGCGCCATTTTCCCTAACACGGAGATACGTGCGCCCTGTTATCTGTCAGTAAAGTTCCCCGTCAGGTGAGCCCTGCAGATTCCTCCATGGCCCCCGGCACTGACTCAGCGGAGGAGTCGCTTGCTGGCCCACTACGTTGTAGGTCTGCCCGCTGGTCAGCCCACGTTTTGGGTATAGGTGCCTGCTATGTGTGATCCCCACTAGGCGATCCCATATGCTTATTCCGCCACGGTTAAGTCCCCCCCCTGGGCGGACCCGTGTCTTCCCTCTCCGCTAACCACTCTTTTGCTATGCGTACTCCCCCTTTTTAGGGCTAGTCCATATGTAAATTCTGCCATCTATTTCCCCCTTGGGTAACGGATGGCCTCCGTAGCGTCCTCCCTATCGGGATTGCACGCTTCCCAACGTACTGTCGTATTTTCCTAGAATTATCTAGATGCTCACGACTTCCCAAAAAAATATATCTAAATCCGTAAAACTTCTGTTGAAGTAGGATAAATTAGGGCCAGGGACACGTTGGAGGACCGCGCCTCCCATGATGTGGGTGCATCACGCTTGCTTGACAATCCCCTCATCGGGGGCGTTGGTAAGGTGCAGTCATTATGGCGCTTTTCATACTTCTCCCATTTCGTGGATTTCAATCAATCCACTCTATGGCACTGAAGTTCCTCAACCGAAGGGGAACGTTCGAGGTTACAGAAGTAACCCTCTTCGGGGAACGGAAGTGCCATACTCCGTCGCCATAATGACTGTCCCTTAGCTGTTTGAAAGTCTCTTCAGCTTAAAAGGATGGCGTTTGCTCGCTCCAGGTGTGCTTATATGCTAGGATAATTGACAATGAAGTACACCTGTGCAAGCTTACGCTGCCAATTCATTGCTTTCATTGGCCCGTTCAATACTCTTTCAGACAAGCGGCTTCTGAACCGAATCCTCCCATTTCGTGGATTTCAATCAATCCACTCTATGGCACTTTCGTTCCCCTCCTCGGGGAACGAAGGGTTACTTCTGTAACCTCGAACGTTGTTGATAATGATGCAGACAACAGAATAGCAATTTATAAATGTGTTTGATAAACTTTATTTTCAACTGCACACCATTATTGATTAAATTCAATTTTAAACAAACAAAAACACTAATGTATATTAGCTTTTATGCATAACAATGATTAAGGATAAAATATATTAAAATAAGGAGAGTGAATGAACACATTTATTTACCAAATAGATGTGTGTATTTTTTTATGCTGACATCAAATTAAAATATATATAAAATGATTTTATATACATGGAATGCATGTGGAATGCAAATAAATAAATAAAGTGTCTATTTAAATATATCTATATAGCTTTTGGGGAAATAAATACGGATTAATTAATGTTGCATCATCATTCAGTGCAAAACATGTACATGCAAATGAGGGAAACAAGCTTATCTTGACCTCTGCTTTATAAAATAGGCCTTAACTAGATTTTTTGGCATATCAGCTATTGTTACATTGGATGACATTTTGTTGGTTGTGTTCTGTAATTCATAGTAAAATATTAGAGTCATTTTATTTTGATTAAAAATAAACAAAAGAAGACAAGGAACACAATGTCTAATTTTATGTATTTAATCATTTATTTGATTGAAAAGGTTGTTCAGTGCAGAGTTTATTGTACAGGTTCTGAGGCAGTTTGTAGTGCTCTACAAACAAATGTTTACATGACGATACAGACCAGGTAAAATTATATAATAATAAAATATCAGTTTGCAACATCAAGCAGCAGACCAAGCAGTTTTTAACGTCTAAAAATGAACTGAAGTGAATGAGACCGGAAGTCTCGAGCCAAAAAGATTCAAATGGCTGCGCCCGCTTGTCGGCAGAGAATAAGGTGTATAACGAGCAAAGTAATACAGCTGTGTCCTTAGTGTTGATGTTTCTTCCTGTTAAAATAGCTGCATTGCTGGAGGATTCAGAAGAGAAACTGATTTTATTTTTTAGCGATTATGTGACCTGCCCTGGTGAAAAAAAAGTATACAAATTATATTGCAAATATATTTTTCATTCCAATAGTACATTGAAAGTATACTAACCAAAAAGTATACCTAATTGAAATATATTAAAAGTTTATTATTACCATACTTTTATATATAACTTTTAACACACTTAAAACTTATTGTAATTTAGTATATTTTCTAAAAATATATTTCAGAAAAATTTACTTTATTAAATGCTTAGTTTATTTTTTACAAGTGTATTTATTTAGCATTTGATGGTAGTATATTTAAGTATTATTTTAACTATGCTTTGAATGAACTTTGTATGAATCTTCAAAGCACATTATTAAATAAACAAGGTGTATACTTTGTTAAATTTTGTAGTAATTTTAGTGTAAGTTTTCATTCATGCAACTAAGTTCATTATACTTTTAGAAAGTAATAAAATATGTCTAATACATCTATCTATTTAAAACATTTGTAAATAGTGTGCAAACATATACTGTTAAAAAAAAATTCCCAGAAAAATACTATTGTGACATTATGGTTGGCAGCATGATTACAGCAAATTACTGTAATAAAAAAGGGCTATGTGTCCTCAGTCTGCAGGCTGCTGATGTCTAAGTACAGCTCATTTCTGCCCGTGTCTCTGGAAATGGTGAAGCGACTCTTGAAGGAGTTCCCAGAGTCTACTGATGCACCACTCCATATAATCCCGATCCACTCAATGGCTTTTCCAGGAGGATGTCTGATCCAAGCTGTGCCATAATCTGTGAGAGCGTATCCAGAAATCTGACAGGACAACCTGACCGACTGACCAGCAGTTTTAATCTGTGCAGGAGACGAGGTCAGGGAGATGCCAGAAACATCTGTAAAAGACAATAACATATCTGTTTCTAGTTAATGTTTGTATAATATACAACAAAAGATTCTCTCTTTACTGATGTAACTGAAATTAATCTACTCACATGGAAAAAAGCAAATAAAAGGAGAAGAGTTTGACTCATGATTGATTTCAGGTTCAGACAGATGTTCACACAGCTTTATCGTGCTGTTATTGGTCTGTTAGTGGTCTGTCTCTGTGTTTGAGGAAATGGTAAATCTTATTCTCTCATGTGGATGGTGAATATTTGAATATTATAATTCGGGTTAAATAAGGATGTGATTTTGAACATTCAGTGAGCTAAATCTTGCTTTTAGAAGCAGTTTGTTCTTTTGATTTGCAAAGACCTATTCTCTGGAGTTCATAACATTATTATGCAACAACGCATTATGCATTTTTCCATACTTTTATGACTTACTTGTTCTTACTCAAAATATGCGTTTTTAAACATCTTTGTCTCTTTGAAAGTACAGAGTTTTGAAAGCTATTTTAAAAATGTTTTTTAAAGAGTAAATATTTTTGCTTCTCAGAAAAAAATGTAGAAAAACATGAGGTTGAGTAAATGATAAGCTTTTGGTTAAAATGTATTTCAAAATGTCACATTTCATTGTATCAATACAAGGTTAACAATATAATATTCAGATATTCCTCTGTACATTTAAACGTTGACTGTAGTTCTTGTAAAGTGCTTGTGCTGTTTTCAGAATCTGTGGTAGTCTTGCACAGTAATACGCAGCTGTGTCTTCAGTCTTTTAACTCTGTCCTTGAAGAGTCACTCTGTTGCTGGAGTCACTTTTGCAGATGCTGAACTTGTTTGCCAGTAAGTCTTTCTTAGTTATGCCTCCACCTCCCCATATGTGCACAATCCACTCCAGAGCTTTTCCTGCAGGTTGTCGTATCCAGGCTGTTGCGTAATTGTCATCTGTTACAGAATATCCAGACACCTCACATGTGAGAGTAAGTGAGTTACCCGGCTGCAGAATTATAGAGTTTGGCTGAGTGAGGATGATATTACATTCCATACCTTTGAAAGAGAGAAAATAACAATACACACATTGGTAAGGTTAATATAGTGGCCAAATATCTGTGTGGTATGACCTGCTGATAAAGAAACTCACAGGCCATCACTGAAAAAAGCCAAATTAAAGCTGCAGGGAACATGATTGTTGCTGATTTCAGCTCTCTCCTCCACTGCTATGAACAATACAAAGAAATCTTTTAAACACTGTGAGGGGGCAGGAAAAGCTGAGTACTTTTACATATGTTAAAAAGATGAAGCATACAAATCTTACCATCGCTTGAAGCAATGAGAAAAAAAAAGTTTAAAATCTAAATCATAATCAAAACCTACTTATATTTATGCAATTGCCAGTGAGAGCTATTTAAATTATTGAATTTAAACAAATTAGTTTAATTTGTCCCTTTTTTTCTCTTTATAGGGCACTCACTTTGGCACTCACTGTTATTGCAAGACAATTTAACTGTTATGCCTAAAAAGGAATATGATGCTTTGTAATCAGTGTCAATAAAGTGTTATAACATATACAGTTTCTCCCCAATAACGCACTAATGATAGGAGGAAATACAAACAAATTAAGGGAAATCTCAGTTTTACTGCACATATCAGTTAAATTTTACATTTTCAAAAAGTAGTTTACAACTAAACTTTGGTTAATGAATTTCATTATTATTTTCTGTCACTTGTTCTAGCTGTCACACAGCTGCATTGATTTTATTTTTAATTTGGTAAGCAAATTTTTTTGGACAAAGGGTTGAGAAGGTATAAGAGAAAGAAAGCAATTTTTTATAAATTATCCGGACCACTAGGGGGCAGTGCGCCGAAACGCTGCAGCTCACTTCAGACCATAGTTGTGATAATACACACCAAGTTTGGTTTGAATATGTCAATACGTTACAGAGATAACACCGTAAGTCAATTTTTGCAAGCTTAAGGCCCAATACCAATTCTACCGCTTAGCCCTTACCTTTACCCCTACCCCTCATTTTGCGCGTGCCCTTGAAGGGGTAGTGGTGTCCCAATTCTCTTTAGTTTGAAGGCATAGAATTAAGGGCAAGGGGTATACACCCTTTAAACGAAGATTTTTCAGAACCAAGGGGTAAGAAAAATTTGCCAGAATACACCAACCAGTCCCCGGAAGTAAGGCGATCCACCATGTACCCGGAAGTTAGGCAATCCACAAATTAGTATTTTTTGTCATTATTATGAATTTTTACAACAAACAAACACGTTTTAAAATATTCATAACTGCGTTCGTGTCTTACCATCATGCTTTTAAAAACGCTAAAATAAAAACAACTAGATTTCACAATTTATAATCCCTAATAATATCTTCTGTATAGCAGTCCCACAACATTCTGACACTTGAAGACACTCAAATGTCTAAAAAGTCTAGTAACTAAGAATAAGCTTTTCAAAGTGTCTGCTATAATGTTAATGTTGTTTTTGGCGTGTTTACATAGATAATTATGGCCACTGTCTAAATGCACAGTATTACAATCTCATTGAAACATAAGATCATTATGATAACGTAATATCTTCCTTCTTCTATTTCCTGAAGATAAATACCAAAAAATAACACAACTGGAATCACTTCAGCAGTCTAGATCATCTGATCTCATATAAAGCAAGAGATCGCAATGACATCTGATTGACCTGTGCAGGTGCTGTTGTGCTGTCCCAATTCTTAGGGGTAAATTTTGAAGCACTTCCCCTTCACACTCGGTTGTAAGGGCCAGGGGAAAGGGGAAAGGGTAGGAGTACAAAAAAAGAATTGGGATTGGACCTAAGTTTGTTCGTAATTTAATTGAAAGCGGGTGGCCTAATCAACTTTTCCATAACATTTTTTTCAGCATGGTAGATGTGATTCAATTTTGGTGAAAATCTGACAAATGCCTAGGACAGGTTTGTTTAGGTTTTACAAATAATTAAAAATTGCAAAAGTAATTTCATGACAGAAAATGTTGTCAGGGTGCATTTGAATCAGACTGAGCCAAGGAATTAGAGCAAAAAAATTTGATTGTAGCCCATTCGGTTCAAAAGTTAAAGATAAACATAAGTCAAATTTTGGACAAGTGGTGGCGCTAGAGAGTTTGAGTTAGAGAGTCTAAATTTGTTACGCTTGAAGATCAGACTGTCATCTATCAGTGTGCCAAAGTTTGCGCAAATGCCACAAATGGTTCTTAGGGCTGCAATAGACTCTTTGAGCGGAATAAGAAGCCGGAAGAATAATGATAAGAACCGGAACAGATACAAAAGGTGCCTATACGCACCTTTAGTGCTTGGCCCCTAAAAATAATAATAATAATACAGTTGTAAAGCTGCAGAAACAGTTCAGCAAACACAGACAAAAAAGTGAAAACATGTTGATTATTGCATTCAGATTTTGTACAGTGCTGCAGTTGTATGCATCACTGTGACACTCTTGCACAATAATATACAGCAGTGTCTTCAATCTTCATATTATTCATCTGCAGATACATCTGGTTCTTGCTGTTATCTCTGGAGATGGTGAAGCGCCTCTGAACCGCCTGAGAGTAGTATATAGAACCACTGCCAGATGAGATGTATGCCAGCCACTCCAGACCTCCTCCTGCAGTCTGTCTGATCCATGACATGGCATAGTTACCACCGAATCCAGAGATTGTACAGGTAAGTCTGTGAGATCCTCCAGGTTTAATGACCACTGCATCAGACTCGCTCAGTGTTTGACACCAACAGACTGAAACACAAACAGTTGAACATGAACTTTTACAATATTATTACACATGAATAAACATGACTGTCAACAGTTTTCGACTTACATTCTGTGAGAGCAAACATGACAAAAGCTAGTTTGGATACAATATCCATTGTTATGTTAAAAAAAATAAAAACTTTACACAGTATAGTCATAAACAAGTCATAAGTCATAAACAAGTTTAGTGTCTCTGGATGAATAGTGAGGGGGCTTTTAAAGGGCACAAGAAGCTTGTTTGCATATGCTGCCCTCTAAAGGCACATTTACGTTTCTATTCTTTTTTTTTTTTTTTTTTTTTTTGGTGTTCATTTATAAGCTCAGACTTGGTAATTGTGTAAGTTAAGTGGCTTTTGAATTGATTCAACTACATTTTTTCCCAGAATTATGAAAGTGCTTCATTAACACCATTGCTGAATGAGACACAGGCTAGTTTTGCAGATTAGCACTTTTGATGTATTTAATATTTAGTGGCATGTTTTAATATTTTAAATAATATTTTTATATTTTCTGTATAGTATCTTAAATGAAGTTAATAAAATGTTACTGAGTTTCATAGTATGTAGATGGATAAGCATTGAGTTAGTTGTTAAGATCTCCATCTCCCAGTTATTTATTGACAGGTAATGTGTTAAAGTTAAAACAAAAAAATGAAGATCCCTTTCTGAATTATTTTGAAATCTTTTTGTTCGTGACATGAATATTTTCTCCATAGTACATTATTTGGGCACTTTCCAATTGTTCCAATCCAGCTTGAGTTTATTTCTTCTTCTGACACAAATAAAGATTTTTTGAGGAATGTTGGAAAGTAGCAGCCCATGAGTTCCATATTATTTTTGTTTCTACTATATATATGCCAAGACTACTGGTTTCCAACATTCTTCACAATATCTTGTTTTGTGTTCATCTGACAAAAAAAATTTCTGGAAGTTTAGAACTTTTAACACTTGGGTGAATTATACCTTACAGGGGTAGTTCTCTGCAAAGCAGGAAAAAGCAGTTATACTGTTGCTTAGTTCGTAATCTACCAGTGTCATCTGAATTTGTGTACTTAATAATTTGTTCATCTTGTAAGTTGCCAGATTGTTATTACTGCATTATACCCTTTGGGTTTATGTTCTACACTTCAGCCTCTTTAGTTATTGTGTTTCTTCTAGCACAGTAATACACTCCAGTGTCTTCAGTCTGCAGCTTTGTCATGTGCAGATACACCTGCATTTTACTGTTGTCTCTGGTGATGCTGAATCTTCCTTCAACGGCTTTAGAGTAATATTTGCCACTGCCACTTGGAGCAGAAATATGTGAGATCCACTCCAGTGCTTTCCCTTCAGCCTGTCTTATCCATGATATATCTGCATCTCCAACATCAATCCCAGAGAAAGTACAGGTCAGTCTGTGTTCATTGCCTGGTTTGATGACTACTGACTCTGATTCAGTCAGTGTTTGACCTTTGCACTCTATTGAGAAGTTAGAAATACATGAGATTCTACAGTTTTAGCAATAAATAAATAATAAAGTGGCAATTAATTAATGAAACATTAATAAAATGTATCAATGGATGTTCTTAAAAAAATCATACTTACTGTTTAGAGAGATTAATATCATTATTAAAAAGCAGGTAAGTCTAATAAACATTTTGCTGCAGTTCTTGTTAAAATCTCATCGACCAAACATCAGAATGGTTTTAAATATGAAGTGTATTTAAGGCACTCAGTCTATAATGTAATTTCAGTTTGCATAGCCCATCCTCTTCAGGATTTACATGAAATGCTTAACCCCAAACATTCACTCATTATGAAGAAATTATTGTTTCTTATGTGGAAATGTATCATATTTTATAGTTTTCAGGATCAAAATATTGACTTTGAGTCAAATATTACTTAAATTCATTCAGATTTAATAAGCAGGTGCTTATGGACTGTATATGGAGACTGTGTGAGTTATGTATCTTGCTCATTGCTCAACCATCTAGGCCAGAGGTGCCAAACTTAATTCCTGGAGGGCCGAAGCCCTGCACAGTTTAGTTTCAACCCTGCTCCAACACACTTACCTGTAGGTTTCAAACAAGCCTGAAGGACTCAATTAGTTTGATCAGGTGTGTTTAATTAGGGTTTGAACTAAACTGTGCAGAGCTGCGGCCCTTTTGGAACTGAGTTTGACACCTGTGATCTAGGCATTAATTTTATAATATTTATGATTTTTAATCCCGACCTTTACACCTTTAGTTATTTGTGAAGCTTTTTATAAAAATGCATTTAAATTTTCCAAGCAACACTGAACAACTATTCTGTTTAATTGTGGAAAAGTTTGGCATTTGTAGTGATTTTCTGCGTGCATTGTTTTTGTTCAGTCCTGCAGTGTTTTGTGCAACTGTGAGTCTCGTGCACAGTAATAAACAGCTGTGTCTTCACTCTTCAGCTGTTTCACCTCTAAATACAGCATGTTTTTACTGGTGTCTTTGGTGATGGTGAACTGGCCTTGTAAAGACTGAGCAAAAATAGTGCCAGTGCCACGATCAATTCGCCCGATCCACTCCAGTCCTTTCCCTGGTTTCTGGCGGATCCAGTGCATCCAGTAGCTGCTCATTGAGAATCCAGACACAGTGCAGGACAGAGTGACTGATTCTCCTGGTCTTTTCACCACAGAGTCTGAGGAGGTCAAAGACTGACCACGAACAGCTGAAAAACATGAAAACAATAGTTCATTTCTGCAGATTGAAATGACAAAAATAACAGAAGTGAAATCATTCTCACTTGAAACAATCATCAGCAGAACTCCAAATTGTAACACGTCCATCATAACCTCAAAAGAAATGAAGAGAGAAAAAGATAACTCCTGGACACAAACACTGACTGATGATTCAGTTTATAACACAGTCCTGTGAGAATTCAAGTGACACTGATCCTCCTCTCTGTTAAAATCATTTGCATACAAAGAGACCTGCAGGTGTAAAAAGCACCTTAGCCCACATGGCCAAATTCATGAAGTTCTTTATCTGCACTTGTGTAAAGATTAAAAAACTCAATGGAATTGACTTACTTACTTACAAATTTTAACAGACTGCAATTCATTTTTTCATGATTATTTCAGTATTTTGTTGCTTCTTTATTTCTTAGTTAAAGTGTTGCAGTCACAGACATCAAGGACACAAAAATGGACACAGACATATGATGCACATTAACCAACACCATTCAAAATTCAGATGACTTTAACTTGCTCACAACAAAAATGTATGTTTTCCATTTTATTCATACGACTTTTAAGTCAGTGTCCAAATGTGAAATATTCAGAAATTCAAGACTTTATTTTGATACTTTATGTTGACTTATCCTGCACATATAGCTGTAACATTAGATTTTCAAGAGTTCACACTTTTTTGATAATTGATTATAAAACGAGGTAAGCATGCTGTCCCTGGAGAGAGCTCTGAGCTCATAAGATCCTCGAGCCCGGGGCTTGCTCCCGTTTGCATGGTGAGAGGGGCATTTGAACTCAGGTAGGTCTCAAGAACTCCCTCTGGCCCCCCTGCCAGTTAAAAATGTATAGGAATACAGATTCATATAAATCGTTCAAAGATAGATCTAGGAGTGAGAGATGGTGGGTTAAAGAGCATTTTGCTGATGATTTAAGATTTGAGTGCTTGTATAATTATTGTTTCAGAGTGTTTAGTGTGATATCAGTTAGTATTGCTGCTGGAATCAGGTGTCTGTTGGACATGTTGGAAAATTATATAAATTTGAAATACAGTAGTTCAATATAAAATTATTTTCTTCCTCACAAATGCTCACATGCATTAAGGTAATGGATAACAAATTATACTGGCAGTCTTTAAAGAGTCATGACTATGACCAAAAAAGAAAGACTTGTACAGTACTGATGATATTCCTAAAACTCACAGCTGACAGCTGGTACTTTATAACTACAATAAGAGGAAGTGTATTATTCATGTTCTAATAATAAAACTTTTGTCACTGTATTTCAGAGTTCTTGTAAAGCTGCTTCCTCAAATGGAGACACAGTGACTCCCGAGCACAGTAATAAACAGCAGTGTCCTCTTCTCTCAGACTCTTGGCTTCAAGATATTGCATATTTTGAGACACGTCCTCACTCAGAGTGAATTGGTTTTTCATGGAATCTGCATAATCAGCACTACCAGAGCCAGAGTTAACTCTCCCAATCCACTCCAGAGCTTTTCCAGGCTTCTGCCGTATCCAGTGCATGTAGTAGCGTGTCATTGTAAACCCAGATATTTTACAGGAGATCTTCACCGTTTCTCCAGGTCTCTTTGTCACAGAAGGTGACTGATCTAATCGAATTTCATCACCACTGATACCTGTGCAATAAAAGACAAAAAAGACTTCAGTGATGAACTTCTCACATGTTAAAATGCTGTTAAGAAAGAAAGTGATAAAATTACCTTGAAAGACAATCACCACACAGAGAAAATGGCAAATATTCATGTTCATGTTACAAAATAAAGAATATGATGCAGTAGCCAAAAAAAAAAAAAACAGCTTTAATGAATGGAGATGAACAGACCGGGTCCTTTTTAAAGGAGCAAGCAGAAGTCTGTTTGCATATGCTGCCCTCTAAAGGTATTTATTTTGTTTTTGATCTTAATACACTGTAAAAATGCTGGGTTTGTTTTACTAAATTTAACCTAAAAAAAAAGAACCCTGAAGCTTTTCAAAGTAATATTTTTTTTTTATTTTAAGCCAGCAGTTTTAATGTCATGTGACCACATAAAAAATACTGTTTATGCTTTTAGGTATTTTTAATGTGAGTTGTACCATTTTGTTTGACATGTATCACCGTACTGAAAGCACCAGCAGATAATTGACTTCATTATTAAAAATAAAACAACTATCAATAGCATAACCTAATGTCATTCATTCATTTTGCTCCAGCTTAGTCCTTTTATTCATCATAGATCACCACAGCGGAATGAACTGCCAACTTTAATTTTTGACTCAACGTATTTTTTTCCTTGGGCAGAATTAATTGATTGATGTTAAGTTACATTTTCCATTTTCAACCAAGTCAAAACTATCATTTGAGAGTAATGCATACATTTAGCTGTAACAAAGGACAATCATTTTTAGGTTGTTCCAAAGCAAGATTATATGTAAAGTTTCTTTCTAAACTAATTTCGAGAGGATCACATGCTTATGATTGTTCTCACCTGTTCCCTCGAGGATCTCCTAAGCTAAGGGGTCTTTCCCGGGACAGCATGACAAACAAGCTTTATTATCAATCATCAGTTAAGTGTGAACTCTTGAATATGATTTAAGGGTAAAAAAAGATAGCTTTCTACTTTGTAATAAAGTAAAAAAAAAAAAAAATTTGTGTCTCTATATTTTCACTTTGTGTGAATGCAATTTATTTTCTTGACCACATATTTTTGATTTAGAATAAATATTTGTTGTTAAAAAAGTTAAATTATACTTTGAGAAAATTTAGCTTTAACTAATTAAAATGATTAGAATGAAGAACAAAGGCAGCTGCCTTTCGCCGACCACCCATGGGGGAACGCAGACTGGATGAAGGCAACAGAAAATCTGTCTCGGCTCCTTGTTAAATAGTAAATTAAGCAACTGGACTAGACTAGACTGAAAATAATAAATGCAAATGTATCTTGAATATCTGTTGAGCAAGAGAGTGTCCGTAAAGTTTAATGAACACAATAATCTGGCAATGAGTATCAAGACGGCAAGTATAAGTAGAGAGGTGAATAAATGGCTTCAGGTTAGAAATGCATGCGCTCCAGCGCTTGATTGTAAGGAGTAACAGCTGAAGTATACACCAGATTGAGACATGAGAGAGAAGTCCTGATCAAATCCAAGCCTGACCCTTGATAGCATAAAACATCCTCTCTCATATGAAAACAATGGAGCCTCGTTTCACTTGTTAAGTATTATGTATAAAAATAGTGATAGAAATAAATTGTTTGATTTATACGTTCTTTAATATTGACGCTGAGAAATGAGAGATAAACTTTTTCAGATCAAATCTTAAGAGTTTTGCCTTAAAAGGTGTACAGATTATCCAAAGATATTTGGGTTACTGCCCATATAATAAAAAATATATATGTTTTTCCCTGGGCAAAATATATTTTAAATTTGTGTTAAATGTTGTATCTGTAAGGTTCAATAAATCGAAAATATATTTAAATTCAGCATATACGTTTGCAACCTTCCAGTAGAATGTGTTTAATATCAATATATGGATATTCAATATTTATTATTTTTAAAATGTATTTAATTCAATTTAAACAAAACAGTTTGAAACGTTTAGCAAGTATTAATATTAATCCATGTTCATTCTGTTGCAATGACAATGACACTTATTTCAAAGTGATTTATGATGACACAAACACAATACACAAACACAGTTCATTAAAGAACATAATGAAATGTCCAGAGATGCTTTAAGGATTGCAGTTAATTCCAATCTGGGGGAACTGAAACTACTTTAAATATGTCGAGCCATTTTTTAAGTAGTTTTAGATTTCAATATGTATTTTAAAATATAGTTTTGTAATTTTGTGTGACACGGTGGTGCAGTAGGTAGTGCTGTTGTCTCACAGCAAGAAGGTTGTTGGGTCGAGCCTCAACTGGGTCAGTTGGCGTTTCTGTTTGAAGTTTGCATGTTCTCCTCGCGTTTGCGTGGGTTTCCTCCGGGTGCTCCGGTTTCCCCCACAGTCCAAAGACATACGGTACAGGTGAATTGGGTAAGCCAAATTGTCCGTAGTGAGTGTGTGTGAATGAGTGTGTCTGTGTTTCCCAGTAATGGGTTGCGGCTGGAAGGGCATCTGCTGCATAAAACATGGCTGGATAATTTAGCGGTTCATTCCGCTGTGGCGACCCCAGATTAATAAAGGGACTAAGCCAAAAAGAAAATTAATAAATGAATGAAATTTAGTTTTTTTGTATATTTTGCAGTTTATTCCAAAATATGAAAAATACTGCACTCTGCAATATATTTCAAAATATGTTTCAAAACATCTATATATATATATATATATATTTGTTTTTTTTTTTTTTGTCGTGATGTGTTTTTGGGCATGATCACCAGCAATCTAGCTATGCAGATCACTGGAGAACTACAACTATCATTATGCTGTGCCCCAATCAATATGCTTCTGTTTGCCCCTGTTTTGACCGTTGCCTGCCTGACCATTCTGTTTAATAAACTGCACACAGATTCTCAACCCTGTTGTCCAGCATTCATTCTGTTACAGTTTTATAAAGATTCTTTGCAAATAATCAAATGTGTTATGTTTTACGGATATTGGATATTTTACATTCTAATACTGACATCAGGGAATGGGTCTGTCTAGTTTTTCAGACTTCCATCTGACCTTTTTCACATCATATGTGGTATGAATGGTTTGATTAGGTTTATGTTCTGCTCTTCAGCCTCTTGTGTTAGTGTGTTTGTTTAAGCACAATAATACACTCCAGTGTCTTCCTATCCATATCCATTGTCGTGTTAAAAATAACAGGAACTTCACACAGTAAAGTCATAAATACATTTTGTGTCTCTTGATGAATAGTGTGGGGGCTTTTAAAGGGGACACGAAGCTTGTTTGCATAGGCTGCCTTCTAAAGGCACATTTATGTTTCTATGCTCTTTTTTTTTTTTTTTTTTTTGGTGCTGTTCATTTATTAGCTCAGACTTGTAGTTGGTAATTTATTAAGTGGGTGCTTTGAATTAATCATTCTTTTTTTTCCAGAATCATAAAAAAAATCTGATTTAGGTGCCAGCAATGAACATTGATCACAGACGTTAGATGAGTAAGTGTTTTTATGTTTTATTACCACCATTGATGAATGAGACACAGGCTAGCTTTGCAGATCACCACTTTGATGTAATATTTTAGACATGAATTGTGGATAGTTTCTTAACTGATGTAAATTTTACAGAGTTATACAGCAATGCTGATAAGGAAGAGTTGAGTTAGTTTTTAAGATCTCCATTTGCTCATCATGTTTTTGAAACTGTGTGTCATGAAATATGTGTAAATCTATTCTGAAGCAAATAAAACTGAAATAATGAAAATTAAAGAGTTGTTTTTTCATGACATATTTTTTTTTATGTTTTATGTATCACAATGTGTCATGCCAATTGCAAAACTAAACAATATAAAGTCAGTCCAGTAATTAAAGTATCAAATGCCTGTATAGTATATTATATAAAGATATTAGAGTTTGAGAGTTCAAAAATAACCAAAATTATTTTCAGCATTAATCAAGTTCTTAAGATCTGTATGAATGTGCAGATTGCTCATTGATCAACCATCCAGAAACTGTTTATAAGAAAATATTTAAATGCTCTGAACAACACAAATAATCAATTGATATGTTAAATAAATGGGAAGTTTGACATTATCAGTGATTTTCTGCATGCATTATTTTTGTTCAGTCCTGCAGTGTTTTGTGCAACTGTGAGTCCGTGCACAGTAATAAACAGCTGTGTCTTCACTCTTCAGGCTTTTCACCTCTAAATACAGCATGTTTTTACTGGTGTCTTTGGTGATAGTGAACTGGCCTTGTAAAGACTGAGCGTAATATGCTGTTGTGCCAGTGTCTATATATCCAATCCACTCCAGTCCTTTTCCTGGTTTCTGGCGGATCCAGTGCATCCAGTAGCTACTCATTGAGATTCCAGACACAGTGCAGGACAGAGTGACTGATTCTCCTGGTCTTTTCACCACAGAGTCTGAGGAGGTCAAAGACTGACCACGAACAGCTGAAAAACATGAAAACAATAGTTCACTTCTGCAGAATGAAATTATTAAAATAACATAAGTGAAATCATTCTCACTTGAAACAATCATCAGCAGAACTCCAAATTGTAACACGTCCATCATAACCTCAAAAGAAAAAGATAACTGCTAAACATAAACACTGACTGATGATCTAGTTTATAACACCGTCCTGAGAGAATTTAAGTGACACTGATCCTCTTCTCTACTAAGGTCATTTGCATACAGAGAGACCTGCAGGTGTAAGAAGTGACTAATGGCACAAAGTCATGTGACTGAAAGTCAAGTTCTATACCTGCACTACTACTAAGATTTACAAATTCATTAGATTTTAGTTTAAATTTGATAGCCTTCTTTTTTAAATTTCAATTTCTGTTAAATTATTATGATTGTTTCAGCTTAATTATTTAAGTATTCCACCATTTCTTCATATCTTTATTAAAGTGCTGCACAGTCACAGACCTCAAGGACAAAATAAGGAACACATAGTCAGATGATGCACATTATAACCAACACCTTTTTTGTTTAAGTGACTTACTTGTTATGGGTATTTCCCAGTGCTGGGTTGTGTCAGGAAAGACATCACATAAAACAATTGCTAGAGTAATTAGTAGTTCATTCCACTGTGGTGACCCCTGAGAAATCAGGCACAAAGCCGAAGGAGAGTGAGTGAGTGAGTGAGTGAGTGAGTGAGTGAGTGCGTGAGTGAGTGAGTGAGTGACTTTAGCTTGTTCACAACAAAATGTAGATTTTGTACCCTTATTCATTCAAAGTCAGTGATTGAACAGAAAAGTGCAGACATTGTAAAGCACCCAATGTTCTTTATATTAGATTTCATTTAAAAGAATACAGAATAAACCAGAAATAACATTTTATTTTCCAGTTAAGAATGTGTCGCTTTAGTTGTGCAATTTGAAAAAAAAATATTGATTTGGTAGAATCCAGACTCTGTTAAATGCATTTTGCTGATGGTTTGTGTTGAATGCTTGTGTTATTGTTGTTGTTTCAGATTGTTTTCAGTGTGATATCTGTCAGTAGATCTGTTGACATCCTGTGTCTGATGAATGTGTTGGAGAAGAAAATCAAGATCAAAGAAAGAAATGTATTTGAACTTCAATATCTAATTCCTTTCTTCATCACAAACACTCACATCACATGTTATTGGATATAAAAAGTAAAATTATGCTGGCTGTATAAATGTCATGAATATTCAAAAATAGTGAATACTTATATAGTAATGATGCATCTATAAAAACAATGAATACCAAAATTTTAGAATTATGAAAATAAGAGCAACTATTATTCATGTCCGCATAATAAACTGGTCTCTTGTCACTGTATTTCTGAGTTCTTGTAGAGCTGCTTCATCAGTTTGAGTCACTGTGTCCTGGTGCTCGAGCACAGTAATAAACAGCAGTGTCCTCTTCTCTCAGACTCTTGGCTTCAAGAAACTGTGTACTTTGAGATACGTCTTCACTCATTGTGAAGTGGTTTTTCACAGAATCTGCATAGATAAGATAATCAGAGCTAGAACTGCTGCCAGAGTCAACTCTCCCAATCCACTCCAGAGCTTTTCCAGGCTTCTGCCGTATCCAGTGCATGTAGGAGCTTGTCATTGTGAACCCAGATATTTTACAGGAGATCTTCACTGTTTCTCCAGGTCTCTTTGTCACAGAAGGTGACTGATCTAATCGAATTTCATCCCCACTGATACCTGTGCAATAAAAGACAAAAAGACTTTAGTGATGAACTTCTCACATGTTAAAATGCTGTCAAGAAAGAAAGTAATAAAATTACCTTGAAAGACAATCACCACACAGAGGAAATGCCAAATATTCATGTTCATGTTACAAAATAAGGAATGTGATGCAGTTGCCAAAAAAACAGCTTTAATGAATGGAGATAAGCAGACCGGGTCTTTTTAAAGGAACAAGCAGAAGTCTGTTTGCATATGCTGCCCTCTAAAGGTATATTGACTTTGTGTTTGATCTTAATACACTTTCAGTTTTTATATGCTTTCAGTTTTTTATGTATTTCTAATGTGAGTTGCACTGTATCATCTTGTGTGACATTTATAGCCCTACTGAATGCACCAGCAGAGAGTTTAATTCATTACTGAAAATAAGATAGCAATAGCATAGCCTAACATTATATACAGTATTTATTATAGTTAGTTTTTCTTTTGGGTTTTAATTTGAACCAAATGAATTAAATTAACTTATTGTCTATAAAAACAATAATTTACTTTTGAGTCAAGGTGTTTTTTTCTTGGGCAGAATAAATACTTTGATTAATGTTAAGGTACATTTTCCATTTTCAACCAAGTCAAAACTCTAAATTGAGGGTAATTTTATAAATTTAGCTGTAACAAATTACAATAATTTTTAGGTTGCTCTAATGAAAGATTATACTTTTATTCAAGGGTAAAAAAGATGTGTACAAATATTTAAAATTGTATTTAAATCAATGTAAACAAAACAGAGCCAAATGTTTAACAAGAATTAATATTAATGCATGTTCATTCTGTTTTAATGACAATGACACTTATTTTAAATTGATTTATCAAGACACAAACACATTACACAAACAAACACATTGCATTAAAGAACAGAAAGAAATGTCCTGAGTTTATTTTGCAGTTAATTCCAGTCTGGGGGACCTGAAACTACTTTATTTATAACATGCTTTTTCTTTTCAAGTAGTTTCAGATTTCAATATGCTTTTCAAAATATATTTGAGTATTTTGCCTTTTTTGTATATTTTGCAAAATATGAAATATACTGCACACTGCAATTAATTTCAAAATACGCTTCAAAGCTTTTTTTTATTATTATTATTATTTTTTTTTTTTTTTTTTTGCTGTGCTGTGTTTTGTGAAGATGGTTCTTTGTAAATAATCAAGTGCTTTAGATGTTTTAGGGATTGTAGGTATTTTTACATATTACTGTGAAGGATTAGGATTTATACCTTCCAATCCATCTCAGCATGAATCAACATTTATCCTTTTAATCATTATCTTGTTTCTCATTATTTTTATTAAATATACATATTTGATTATTTGAATGAGTATTTAACTTTGAATTGATTTTAATTAATGAATAAGTTAACACATTGCTTCAAGATAAGAATGTTCAGTGCATTTGCCTGTCTCTTTATAACTATTTTCAGGAGCCAGCAAACTAGGTTAGAGGTCATGGAGACCTTGAGTGAAACTGAGGCCTGAGCACTGGAAGCAACTGTTTCTATTGCTATTTCTGTGAGTTAATACTATCTAAAATGTCTAAAAGGGATTTTACTGTTTTTACGGTTAATTATTTTAAAGTGATTCTACTTTTTATTCAAAATAGACTTTGTGTAGTAAGGATTATAACTGCCTGAATGTAGATAATACAGTTTTGATAAAGACGGTTGAGAATACACTTAGCCTTGAATAAGAAACAGATTGTACTTTAAGTCTGTGTGTTTTATTGGATTGTTGATCCGTTTCACAGGTCTGGAGTCAGCTCTAATCAGTCTAAGGGATGTCTGAGGTTTATGTTTAGATATTGTTCAGAATTGTACGCACAATCCCCACATGGAAATTGTCCTAGTCTATCTGTGTTTTAACCAATCAGGTTAGAACACCTATATGTATGACGCAGTTAATGATGTTATGTGAGAGTATAATTGTTATTGATTGGTGATTGTTAGCAAAACGGCCTAGGAACTCATTGCGAGTGTTGAAGCTGGCTTCTGCTGATGTAACTGCAAACTATCTTCAGTAAACTTGATTTATTCATTTAAATCTCTGACTCCGGCTCTTCTTCATTTACCAGACTGATCATTTTTGGGTCAATCTGTAAACTATCCCTACAACTGACATCAATGAATGAGACCCCTTTCTGAACTGTTTTTGATCATATGTGGCATGAACGGTTTATATTCTGCTTTTGTTATTGTGTTTCTTCTAGCACAGTAATACACTCCAGTGTCTTCAGTCTCCAGCTTTGTCATGTGCAGATACAAGATTCATTTTCTTTTCAGCTTAGTCCATTTATTCATCAGGCGTCACCACAGCGGAATGAACCACCAACTTATCCAGCATGTTTTACGCAGTGGATGTCCTTCCAGCTGCAACCCAACTCTGAGAAACACCCATACACACTCACTTTCACACACAAACACTTTGGCCAATTTAGTTTATTCAGTTCACCTATAGCACATGTCTTTGGATTGTGGGGGAAACCGGAGCACCCGTAGGAAACCTACGTTAACACAGGGAGAACATGCAAACTGACCCAGCAAAGGCTTGAACCAGCGACCTTCTTGGCTTGACCTTCTTAAAATGTATTTATAATATCAAAGTATTACTAATTGTGGCAAGGTTAAGTACACATACACGTGTACAAGTACATATTGTTTTGCTGGAAATATTTAATTGGTGTAAGAAATAACTATTTTATATATATTTTTTAATTTACAAAAAAAAATCTTCCTGCTTAACATTTGTAAATCTTAAAAATTGTTATTTCTTAATGTTTTATGTGATACAATATCTTGATAACATAAAGAGCTGTCTATATTGCTGTTTTCAGATTTTGATGGTGAAGCACCCCTGAACTGACTGAGAGTAGTATGTAGTACCACCAGGTGTGATGTATGCCAGCCACTCCAGACCTCCTCCTACAGTCTGTCTGATCCAAGCCAAATACGGATCACTACTGAATCCAGAGACTGTACAGGTAAGTGTGTGAGATCCTCCCGGGTTAATGACCGCTGCTTCAGACTCGATCAGTGTTTGACACCAACAGACTGAAAAACAAGCAATTGAACATGAACTTTTACAACAATAACACACTTGAAGAAACATGACTGTCAACAGTTTCCTTCTTACGTTCTGTGAGAGCAAACATGATAAAAGCCAGTGTGGACACAATATCCATTGTCATGTTATAAAAACAGGAACTTGATACAGGAAAGTCATAAACTAATTTTGTGTCTCCGCGTGGGGGCTTATAAAGAGGAGAAAATACGTATATTTGCATATGCTGCCCTTTAAAGGCAAAGTGACATATTCTGGAACATTAATAAGAATGTTTGTAGCTGCTTCCAAAGCCTATTTGGTATGTTCAATATTTGTTCAGTGTGCTTGAAGTACTTCATGTACAAAACTCAAATATTTATTAAAACCTGAAGGTAGTTCATCCAACAATGGAAAATTGCTCGCTCTCAAGTTGTTTCAAACCTTTATGAGAAGATATTTGGAAGAATGCTGGAAACAAGTAGCCATCATGATTTACAGTATAGTATAGGAAATAAAAATCCAATATCTTTTGTGTTTAACAGAAGAAAGTAAGTACAACAGATCTGTGACAAGTAAAGAGTGAGTAAATTATGATGTAAATTTAACTTTTGGGTGAATTATTCCCTTTAAGTCTTCATACTTTAGTAGAAATACATCATTTGTTGAGTCCACATTATCTCTCTTGCCACTGCAAACTATCAAACTTAAAGACATAAAACATTTGTAGATTAAAATGCAGCTGTTTAATGCAGGGGACAAACCTTCACTAACAGAAAGTTCAGTTTAACACTACTTCATGAGTTTGGAAGACAATGGCCCTTTCACCTGAATCATTTGCACTTTGAATTTCTGTATTTTAATGCAGATTACTTATTAATATTTTTTTTAGTGTACTAGCTTTGCTGTTTGCATTCTGTATTGCTTGAGCTGCTTGAAGACACTGAGTTTACTGGAAAAGTTACTGGAAAAGTTGAGAGTTAATGGACTTACATGGTAAAAAGTTTAGTAGAAATAAGAGTTCAGTTCATTATTAAAATTAGAGAATTCAATATGTAGACTGATTCCTTCATCCTGAAAAAAAAAAAAAAAACGTGAAAAATTTACCACTTATAAATACTACTGACTTGAGAAAGCAAGTAGTGTACGATTGAAATGTAGATTTTTAACTAAGTATTATACATTCAAAACTCTCCAGACAGCCCTAAATTAACTTCAGCGGCTCTTCTCCTTTTGCATCTTGTGTAACTTAATCATGTTCACGCTATTGTTCACAATGTGTTTTTGAACAGCTGCCTGTATTTTTGTTGTCACAGTGTCTGTGTTGCGCAGTAATACACAGCACTGTCTTCAGTCTTAAGTTGATTCATGTGCAGATATAAATTGGAGCTGTCTTTAGATGCCGTGAATCTGCCCTGCACTGACTGAGCTGTGCTTTTATCAGAATCTGAATAATAATAAATAATCCATTCAAGTCCTTTTCCAGGTGCCTGACGAATCCAGTACATGTTAGTGCTCCTAAGAGTAAATCCACTGCAGGCACAGCTCAGTTTGTGGAAACCACCTGGAGCCACATTTACTGACCGCTCAGACTGTGTGAGCACAACCTGACAGTCAATACCTGTGGATAAACACAACATTGACAAACAGTTAGAATTGTCTATTTAAAATGGCAATATAGTGCAATCTGATGAGAGAATGTTTGACATACAAGACACGGCAGTCAGCAGCAGCAAGAGACACAAAGTGGACATGATGAGAAATGATTTCTCCACTCAACAGTGCAGTTGTTTAAATATGACATGAACATTAGTTAATTTGCATAAACTTTAATTTAGACCAGTGGGGTCAGTGATGCAGTGGTAGAGTTTATTGAGCTTTATATTACAGACATTAGTACGACCTCTTGATACAGCAGTCATATGCTTCCACAATGTAAATATGCATTTTTGCACATATAACTTATCTACGCTTCTTCAGACAGATGAACAGTGACATGTTCTGGTGAAAGTGGGTACAGGGCTGTTTTTTCTTTGTTGGAAGACTTTACAACTACAGCTGTGTTTTTCTCTGCAATGTTATTTTGTAAAGACTCAAGAGACCTTTGTAATCCATCTACTGTCTGTTTTTTGTGCACAGCGCTGTAGTCATTTCAGTCACTGTGGCTCTCTTGCACAATAATACACAGCAGTGTCTTCATCCTTCAGGCTGTTCATCTGCAGATATACCTGCTGCTTACTGTTGTCTCTGGAGATGGTGAACCGTCCTTGGACAGACTGAAAGTAATACATATCCTGGCTATCATATCTGATCAATGCCAGCCATTCCAGCTCTTTTCCAGATTTCTGTCTGATCCAAGCCATCCAGGAGCCAGAGATATCAAAACTAGAAGCAGTGCATGTCAGTTTATGGGATTCTCCAGGTTTGATGGTCACTGCCTCAGACTCAGTTAGTGTCTGACACCAACAACCTGCAAAGTAAAACTTGATAAATTGGTTTCAGATTAAAATAGACCATTATATGTTGATCAGTGAAGTCTGGAATCATACTTTGAGAAGACAGTAACAGTATTGTAAATCCTAGGATTATGTCCTCCATATTTGTGTGATGAATTCTTGAGTTATACAGTGATGCAGAGTTAAACTTGAGGTTTTAAGTAGAACCTTCATTTGCATGAGCGCAATTAAATATTCATTTTGGGTTTTCTTGTATTTAAATGGCAGTATGCACGTATGTACAGCTTGATGGGGATTTGCCATATATTTCTTTTGTTTAATATATTTACTTAACAATCGTTTATGCTTGCTTGTTGTATTCTCACACTTACATACATCTACAAATTAACAGCAATTTTTTTGTGTTTTAACGTGTTGCATAATTGGGGGTATTTAGTTTTTTCCTCTGTTTGCTTTGTTTGTTTGTTCGTTGTCTGTAATAGTCCAGATTACTAATTTTAATTAAAGTGTAACTCATTCATTTTCTTTTCAGCTTAGTCCCAGTAAATCTGGCACAATTGCCACAGCGGAATGAAACACCAACTTATCTAGCATATATTTTATGCAGCGATGCCCTTCCAGCTGCATCCCATCACTGGAAAACACCCATACACTGTTATTTACAACTTACACAATGGAGAATTTAAATTACCCAATTCCCTGTGAACATGGGGAGAACATGCAAACTCCACACAGAAATGGCAACTGACCCAGCCTTGGTGCAACAACGCTAACCACTGCGCCACCACGCCACCCCTAAATAATATTTTATTTCCAACTAAATAAAAATGGGTTTAAAGTGGAACATTTAACAAAAGATTTTGCAGTTTCACACAACCTAATCCCTACCACTAAACATAACCATAAATTATTTTTAAAATCTGAAGGAAATGAAAGGTGATTAACAGTTAGCACCTAATTCTGATTATAAAACTAATCATGAATTTTAAACTAGTCCCTCACATCTGATTGGACGATTGGACAGTTTTTCCAGAACAAGAACATGTTGTACTTGGTAAAATCAGGTTCTGCAAGTTTGTCATACTCCAAAAGGACAATAAAATAAAAAATAAAATAAAATAACATTGAATGTGTTAATGCAATTAAACTTCCCCCTTTGCTTTTGTGTTCTTTGAAAGAAAATCACATGGAAAGCTTTGCCACAGTGTTTTTTCTTTTTTATTATTGATTGATTGTAATAGAGTTTGCATGTTCTCCCCGCGTTCGTTTCCCAGAGATGGGTTGCAGCTGGAAGGGTATCTGCTGTGTAAAACATATGCTGGATAAGTTGGCTGTTCATTCCGCTGTGGCGACAACAAATAAATAAAGAAACTATGCTGAAAAGAAAATGAATGAATGATTTGTAATAATATATTTATTATCCTGAAATGATCTAAGTCAATTCAAGTAGAATTTAAACAATGACTAAAGTTTCGTATTTTTCATTACTACGTGACTGTTTAACATTAGCTCTCTTATTTTCTCTTCATGAAATCAATAACAGAGTTTTGTTGCAAAACTTAAAACTTGTTTTTGTTTGTAGGTTTAATAGCTTTTGTTGTCTTCTGCTTTAAATCTGCTTTAAAATTGTCTAATCAGAATCAACATTTTTAAATCCAACATTTTAAATTCCAAGACAACTTTTGAGATGTTGGCATTCTTTAATTCAGCTTCATAACTTGAAGAGACCAAAGAAGAGCGATGGTATAAGAATAATGTATTCACTTGGAAATAAAATAAAACTGTAAATAAATGACTTTGGGAATTAATACATTTAAAGTCCCAATATTAAAATACAGTCTGACCAATAATCTCCATTCCTCAGTTCTCCCCTGATGGTTTACCTAAGAGTAGATGCATGAAAACAAGCACAGTGTCTCTCTTGCACAGTAATACACTGCAGTGTCCTCAGTCTTCAGTTGATTCATGTGCAGATAGAAATTAGAGCTGTCTTTAGATGCTGTGAATCTGCCCTGCACTGACTGAGCTGCACCATTGTCAGAATTTGAATAAAAGTGCAAAATCCATTCCAGTCCTTTTCCTGGTGCCTGACGGATCCAGTGCATCCTGTAGCTACTAAGAGTGAATCCACTGCATGCACAGGTCAGCTTAACAGATCCGCTCGGAGACACACTTACTGACTGTTCAGACTGTGTGAGCACAATCTGAGAATAAACACCTAAACACAAAAAATACAATGTTTAATAGAGGCAAAATTATTGATAAAATATTATTGGCTTCTGTAGTTTAAATCCCTCTGTTTTAAAAAAAAACTGACATATGCTTTCTCAAATAAAACACTCACTGTGTGCGACTGCCAACTGCAGAAAGAGCTTTAAGAAGAACATTATTTCTCCTGCTCAGATCCAACCCTCATTTTGTAGCAGTTTATATAGGAAACATGGCAGTTAAGTTTGCATTAGTATTAGTATTTACCCATGCATGTCGTGGACTAACAGAGTAGGTGTGTTCAAACAAACAGGCACCAACTGTTCATTTAATGAGTAATGGTGCCCTCTTATGGACCATTTTTCATTTATTTATTTTTGCTAGATTTGGCATGGTGATTTGATCATTAAGACACTTCAAGATTTACAAAGGCTGATACTGTGCATTAACAGGCTTATCTGGTGTCCAAAAGTCTAATATAATGATATCAAATAAACTGTTTAATAAAAAGTTGTTCAATGCAGGGTTTTTGTACAGGATGTGTGGCAGTTTGTGGTGCTGTGTATTGCGAACACAGTAATACACAGCTGTGTCCTCAGTGTTGAAGTTTTTTCCTGTTAAAATGACTGCATTGCTGGAGGATTCAGAAGAGAAACTGATTTTATTCTTCAGTGAATCTTTGACACCGTTGTTACTGGAAGTATGAAAATAGCCGATCCATTCCATGGGTTTTCCAGCTGAATGTCTGATCCAGTTTGTATAGCCACCACCTGAGGCTGAATATCCAGTGATTTTACAGACGATGGTGAATGTTTCTTCTGGTTTTACTTCCATGGCAGGATGCTGATCCAGTTCAATACAGAAATAGCCTATAGACAATTATAACATACAGACTGAGATTCCCATATGACTCAAACATTTTCTTTTTGTGTTGAGCTGAAGATACTCACAGTGTGCTGTTGCCAAAAGCAGCAGAACTGAAATGCAGTCCATGATTCTGCTTGTGTTTTCACTGTGCTCTGCTTTGTAACACAAAGAGAGTCTTTATCATGTCTGTGTGCTTAAATGAGAGAAGGGCGGAGATTTGCATTGATGTAAAAATCTATCTGATGATAGTTATATGGTGGTTGTTAATAATGATGCAGACAACAGATTAGCAATTTATAAACGTGATTGATAAACTTTATTTTCAACTGTACACCATTATTGATTGCATTCAATTTTTAGACAAACGAAAACACCAATGTACATTAGCTTGTAAGCATTTAAGGATCAGAAATTATTGATTTACTTTGCTTATTTAAGTACATAAGCAGAGTAATGAATGATAATATTTATTTACCAAATAGATTTATGTGTATAAACAGCCATTTATGTGTATGTCACAGTCATATGACTCTGCAGCTCAAGACCGGTTACTCTGAAGCAGGACTGAGCCTGGTCAGTCCCTGGATGCGAGACCACATGGGAAAACAAGGTTGCTGTCTGAAGTGGTATTAGGGAGGCCAGCAGGGAGAGTCCTAAAGCCCCAGTAAAAGTGAAGGGGACACTGTCAGTGGGTGCCATCTTTCGGATGAGATGTTAAACTCTCTGTGGTCAATAAAAAGCCTATGGCACTTCTCGCAAAGAGTAGGTGTCCTGGCCAAATTCCCTCAATTGGCCCTTACCCATCATGGTTTTCCAATCATCCCCATTTACCAAATTGGCTCTGCCACTGTCTCTCCACTCCCCCAATAGCTAGTGTGTGGTGAGTGCACTGGCGCCATTGTCCTGTGGCTGCTGTCACATCATCCAAGTGAATGCTGCACACTGGTGGTGGTGTGCAGAAAACCCCTCTCATGATTGTGAAGGGCTTTGGTTGTATGGCTATACACAATAAATGCGCTTTATAAATACACATTACATTACATTTCTCTTGCTGAAATCAAATTAAAGTGATTTTACATAAAGTACACATGGAATGCAAATAAAGCATCTACTTGAATATATCTATATTATTTTTTGGGAAATAAGTCTGGATTAAATAATGTTCCATCATAATTCAATTCAAAATATGTCCATGCATGTGAATGAAACAAGCTTATTTTGACCACAGCCTTTTTTGGCATATCAGCTATTGTTACAGGATGACATTTTGGTGGTTGTCTTGTGTAATTCAAAGTAAAAAATTATAATCATATTGATTAAATAAAGAATCACGTTCTAGTCTATGGGGATAACAAAGGAAGACAAGGAACACAAATATGTAAAATGATCCAAATTAAATCTATTAGTTTAAAATAAAAATAATCTATTAATTTTATTGGGGGTGGCATAGGTGCATTAAATAAAACAAATTGGCCATGGTGTATGTGTGTGAATGTGAGAGTGTATGGGTGTTTCCCAGTCCGCTGAGTAAAACATATGCTGGATAAGTTGGCAGTTCATTCCACTATGGTGACCCCTGATTAAAAAAAGGACTAAGCTGAAAAGACAATTAATGAATGATTTATTGAAAAATGTGTTCAGTGCAGAATTTATTGTACAGGTTCTGAGGCAGTTTATAGTGCTGTGTATAGCGAGCACAGTAATACACAGCTGTGTCCTCAGTGATGAAGTTTCTTCCTGTTAAAATAACTGCATTGTTCGAGGATTCAGAAGAGAGACTGATTTTATTTTTCAGTGAATCTGTGACACCCTTGCTACTGGAACTACAGAAATATCCAATCCATTCCATCGGTTTTCCAGCCGAATGTCTGATCCAATTGGTACAGGTGCTGCCATCTGAGGCTGAATATCCAGTGATCTTACAGGCGATGGTGAACGTTTCTCCTGGTTTTACTACCATGAAAGGAGGCTGGTCCAGTTCAATACAGAAACAACCTAGGAACAATCAAAACATACAGACTGAGCAGTACATGGATTTCTTAAACATTTTCTTTTACAGTTGAACTGAAGATACTCACAATGTGCTGTTGCCAAAAGCAGCAGAACTGAAATGCAGTCCATGATTCTGCTTGTGTTTTCACTGTTCTCTGGCTCTGTAATACACACAGTGAGCCTTTATCATGTCTGTGTGCCTCTTTTTTATTTTATTTTATTTTTATTGGAGGGGGGGGGGGGTAAATGGCCAGAGATTTGCATTGATGTAAAAATGCATGCAATAATAATTCTTATGGCAATTATTAACTGTGACACAGCGTCTGATTGTGTATACTTGATTTATTACATTGAAGATTGTCAATTTTACACTGGCATTTTTGCAATCTTTTGAAGTACATGTTGCATATATATACAGTTGAAGTCAGAATTATTAGCCCTCCTTTAAATTTTTCTTTTTTAAATATTTCCCAAATGATGTTTACAGAGCAAGGACATTTTCATAGTATGTCTGATAGTATTTTTTTAATCTGGAGAAAGTCTTATTTCTTTTATTTTGACTAGAACAAAAGCAGGCTTTATTTTTTTTAAATATTTTTTTTTCAAAATTATTAGCCCCCTTAAGCTATATATTTTTCAATAGTCTATTGAACAATCATAATACAATAACTTGCCTAATTACCCTAACCTGCCTAGTTAACCTAATTAATCTAGTAACGCCTTTAAATGTCACTTTAGGCTGTATAGAAGTATCTTGGAAAAATATTTACTGTCATCACGACAAAGATAAAATAAATCAGTTATTAGAAATGAGTTATTAAAACTATTATGCTTAGACATGTGTTGTGAATCTTCTCTGCGTCAAACAGAAATTGGGTAAAAAAAAATAAAGAGGGGCTAATAATTCAGGAGAGCTAATAATTCTGACTCCAGCTATATATTTTATATATATTTTTATGTAAATTTCAAACATGACCTGGTACGATTTGCATATGTCGCCATATATTACGGTAGAGTTCTATATGGAGAAAGTTGACTATCAGAGATCAAGGTCCCTTAATACAAATCCACCACATAAATAAACATAAAACTCAAATGAATCACAAAATACAGTAATATGTTAGTAAAGAGGTATTTTTACTTGTACAGTTTTTCAGCATTTTGCAATTGTTTACGTTCATTCATTCATTTTCTTTTTGGCTTAGTCCCTTTATTAACCTGGGGTCGCCACAGTAGAATGAACCGCCAACTTATCCAGCATGTTTTTCCACAGCGGATGCCGTTCCAGCTGCAACCCATCTCTGGGAAAGCAATTGTTTATATTAGTACATATAAAAGTGTATGTGAATAAATAAACAACTAAATAAAAAAACACTGAATGTTAATCTGAGAAGTACACATCTTAGACTGTTCATCAGGTTTAATCAAAAACAAGCAAGTCGAGTATTAAGTATTAAGTATTAAGCATAAAGTTTAACCTTGTGTTGTTTTTATTGTCATTCAATTCATTACATGCTGTCATGTCATACTTCCTCTTAATGACAAAAACAAACAAACATTAACTAAAAATAACTAATAAATAAAACAATTGCCATATGGTTCATTTATGAATAAGTTAAATAATTTACACTAATAGTTCTATCTTGGACAAATTGAATGGCTTGTGTATCGGAACATGTTTGGAATCATTTTAAAATGATTTCTAGTGATCGAAATAGTGTGGAAAGTAATGAAATTATATTCAATTATTTAACGATTTATATTGCAAAACAATTTTAATTAATTTGTCAGAAGAACATTTCTAAGAATGCTGTTCAGTCAATTTACCGTTTTATGTATTAAAATGTGCAAAATGTTAATATAATATTATTACAAACTTTGAGGAAAGGTTTTACGTTTGTGTAGTCCCATAACGTTGTTCTGTGGAAAAAACATTATTGTGCATGTCCCCAGGCAATTTTTAGCACTGTGTCTTGCGTGCACAATAATACACGGCTGTGTCCTCAGACTGGAAGTTTTGACCTTGTAAAAAAACTGTGTTGCTGGATGTTTCGGCTGTGAAGCTGATCTTATTCTTCATTGTGCTGCTGGTTCCCGTATCTCCAGATCTACAGAACCAGCCAATCCATTCCAAGGCTTTTCCAGCTGAGTGTCGTATCCAGTTGGTACAGCCGCCACCTGATGCTGAATATCCAGTGATCTTACAGCCAAGAGAAAATGATTCCGCAGGTTTTACCAACTTGAAAGCAGGCTGATTCAGCTCAATGGAATATACACCTGCGCACATCCATTTAAAAACTGAAATGATCTGAAATACTGTATATTGTGCACATCATTCTCACCAAACTTGAAAATGTATTGGGATTAATTGTGTTTTAAAAGAGTAGCATCTTAAGTAGAAACATTAATAAAACATTATTGTCATGATGAGGCTGATAATACTCACTGGACGCAGTAGATAAAATGATCCCCAATAGTATAAAGTACATGATTCTGTCTGTCTGCAATCTCTTAGGTGGAACTTGTGAGTCTCTTCACTGCAGGTCTGGAAAAGCTCTTTGTTGTGTCTGTATGATCTAATTTACATAGGTTTACATAAGAAATTTAGCATTAGTGCCTATTTAACAGATTAGAATGAAGTACAATACTGCTGTAATTTAAATTGGCCTTAAACACACACACACGCACGCACGCACGCGCACACACACACACTCAAACACACACACACACACACACACACACACACACACACACACACACACACACACACACATATATATATATATATATATATATATATATATATATATATATATATAGTATTAATAAATGAAATTGAAAATTTACTTTAAAAAAGTATCTCTTATTAGTTTTACAGTGAGCACATGAAAAGTTTACAAATCCCAAGTCACAATAAGTTTTTCTTTCTTTACTTATTATCTTATTTTTCCCTAAACGATGTATCCTGTGATGCATGTTGATCAAAGGTGTTATTTTGCTGTAAATTTACTTATATACTGCAAAACATCTCTATAAAATTAGACTTGAATGATTTGTGTTTCTGCAGAATTTCAATATTGGACAGTTTGTTTCTTCATCTAACAAATAATCAATGAGTGATGCTTGGACCAGTCTGCTAAAACTGCTTAACAAGAGCGCCACCTCTTGGAAAATAACAGCACCTGCAGCATAAGTGAAGTCAACAGGAAAATGAGTGGTTTTTGTATTGCTTTGAGTTTGAACTCATTCACAGTGCCGCTCTGGCACAGTAATAGACAGCGGTGTCTTCAGTCTTGAGGTTGTTCATCTGCAGGTACAGCTGACTGCTGGAATCATCTCTGGACACTGTGAACCTTCCCTGGACTGACTGAGAATAGTAAATAGGAGAACTGTATGTGCCGATGTATGCAATCCACTCCAGTGCTTTACCGGGAGCTTGTCTCACCACAGCTGCATAGCAGCTGCTGAATGTAAATCCAGAGGCGGTACATACCAGACGAAAAGATTCACCTGTTTTTTTCAACTCAGCTTGAGACTGAGTGAAAGTCTGACAGTGAACACCTGTAGAAGAGAGAGAGAAATGTAACATGATGTATGTGCATACACACAGGCTGTAATGTGTTTGTTAGAATTGTCTATAGATTAATGTATTCTTATTATGTATTAATGAACAAACCATTTATTAACAGTAACAGCAGGAGTGAGTTGATTATTGTTGTCATTTCTGATGATTCTCCTCCACGAGGACCACATAAATGATGAACAAAGACGCTTCAACAGGACAAACAACTTATAAGAAACATAGAAAACATATTTGCATTAACTCCTCCTCCAGCCTCCCATTAAATTTAAATTAGGGATTTAAAAACGATGTTTACAAAATAAATAAATACATTCTAAAAAGACTAATAACTGTATATAATTGTGAATAATTGTAGAGTATTCAATGCCATAATGGATAAAGTTAAACAGATGGATGAATGATGAAGGATGGTATTATGTATTTCTGATTAACACATTCAGGTTTTTGTACAGAGCTGTGGTTTGTTTAGTCACTGTGTCTGTCTGGCACAGTAATACACAGCTGTGTCTTCCGTCTGAAAATTACGTCCCTGCAGAAACACTGTGTTTTTGGATGTGTCCTGGGTGAAACTGATCTTGTTTTCCACTGAATCTTTAATGTTAGTGCTACCACCACTACAGAGATATCCAAGCCATTCCAGCGGTCTTCCAGCAGATTGACGGATCCAGTTAATGCAGTAGCTTGATTCTGAAATCCTGCAGGAGATGGAAAATGATTCTTGAGGTTTCACAACCATAGATGAAGGTTGAGTGAGCTCAACACAGTAAACACCACCTGAAAACAATAAAAAAAGATTGCTATTTTCTGGATATTAAAATCCTAAATGAATGTATCAAGTATGGATCGATTAGTAAAGCTCACAGGATGTTGTTGCCATCAGCAGGAGAATAGCTGGTGAAAAGATCATGATTAGGGCTGAACTGAGTGTAATTTACTTCCTCTGATGATCCACACATATTACACTTTTGTACAAAGAACAGGTGGAAGATTTGCATGCAGACATTTGGTTGTGGGAGATGTCTATATATTTATACAAGTTCCAGTCAGATTCTTTACAGAAATGCAAACAGCACTGGGACTTTATTTTTAGCAGTTCTCTTGTCTGTGTATGATTGGTGAGAGTTTAATTATTTGTTCTGAAAGTTATATTTTTATCCTAGTAGATGAAAACATATTTGTAACTGTCTCCATCAGTGAATTATTTGGTAACACTTCATTTTGATGTCCATTTCAGTATCACTAGACTGTCTGCTTAATATCTGTTCAAATACTTTTTCAACAGACATTTAACTGACTATAGGAAACTTTACAAGTACATGTCAACTTGCCCTAGCCCCAATATAACAGTCTACTTATAATCTAATGAGAATTACTTGCAATGTAACTTAAATTCAACAAATGGACCATCAAAATAAAGTATGACCAATTATTTACTCGCACTACTCCGATAATTTATTCAGTCAATTTAACACAACCATGAAATGCAAGATGTTCTTCAGCTTTATACATATGCTAGGGTATGTGTAATGCACATAATGCAAATTTCATCATCAGTACAGTACACAAGCTTATGCATGTATTCTTTTACTTTGTCCAGTAGGTGTCAAAACTGAACTGCTGTTTCACAGTTTAAGAACACCAAGATAACTGACTTCCTCATCAAATCTGACCAGCAGTCTAACAGCACACATCACATCAAAATGATCAAATCAAACACAGACAAGAATAGCATTAACCTTTATAGCAGGCTAGCACAAATTCACCTCAGATTTAACTGTCAAAATGTGAGATGTAAATAGCAAAACATTTAATATTTGACAATGTTAGATAGGGTCCAGGTATATCTAAATCACACAACTGAAAGATTAATGTAAGTCATGCATTATTGTGACAAACATAAACACAATTTGCATTCTTGAGCTACAGTATGAGCTGCCATAGCTTAAAAATAAAATACACAAATAGTATAATATTAAAATAACATCTATTTGAAGGATTTTGTGAAATATGCTAGTTGGAACAAACTTGTTTTAAATCTAAACCTTAAGCACATAAGTGGTTTATATCTTTTAATTGTGATTATATGATGTCCTACTTGTGTGTGGCTTTGTAGCTGTAGCTAATAAAAGGACACAGAGGTTTACCATCAAAAGAGAAAATATGTCATTAAACCACAAAGTGGCATATTGATGGACTACCGGCACACATTTAAAAGAAGAGAAACTTGACATAACACAATCCAACTGAAGGAAACAACAGTATACACGTAACTCCCTGAGAATTCATTTTTGTGAACACAATGGATATTGAAGGCATATGTGAGATTCCCTGTCAGGACAGCTCAGCTGTTCAACTGGAAATGATTGACTTCTCAGAGTCCGATCATAGAAACGATTCACTTGAAATCATTGATAAGGGGCTAAACTGCAGTGAAACAAACTACATGTGCTGCTCTGTGTTCAACATCATTTTTTGCAACTGTTTATTTCTGGGACTTGCTGCTTTAATTTGTTCATTAAAGGTAAGTCTGATCACTACTTTTCTTTCTAGAATGTAAAAACTATAGATTTTAGGACAGGGATTAAAAATAACATTTAGTTTGTGAGACATTTGGTCTAATGTTAGTGGCAAGAGACTGAAAGTGATAACAGAACACGAAAGTAAATGCATCTATTAAACTAAACACGTACAAAGAAGTCAATAGAAAGATACAACAAATCTACAAAACAAATTCAATTAATGAAAAAGACAGATGCAATGGAACAGAAAGGATGAAAACAATGAAAACTTAAATATCACAATATAAAACTTAATATAACGAAAACAATATAACCCAAAACTTGCTTGAAATGAAAACCACTAAGCTGACTAGAAGCCAAAAGGAAGAAAATAAGAATTGAAATCTTAAGAAAATCTTTCAGAAACATTTTGATGTCATTTTCCTTTGTTGTTTTTAAGGCAAGAATCAAGATGGATGAGGGAGACATGGTGAAAGCACAGAAGTACAGCCGGTGGGCATGCAGAACCAACACAGTGGCCGTGATTGTCACCATTGTGGCACTAACTGTGTTTCTAGTAATATTTAGGGTTGTTATTTTCCATGATACACCAGCGGTTTACTCAGAACACTCTTATGGCACTTCTTTATCCTCTTTTGATTCATCTTTTGACAACATTAAATGGTCAAAATCAAAACCCAAGAATTATTATGCTCAAAACAAGCAGAATTCTTATTCAGACAAAAAGAGTTTTGGTAAACAGAAAGGGTGAGGGTAAAATTATAAGCAGCATCATCTCTGTTTTACTCACTTTCCTTTGACTTATTCCCTGCTTCCCTGTTTATTTTTTAGCAGCGCTTAAATTAGAAAACCTTTTTAAACCAGGATCACATAATATGATTCTGATATCACTTGTAGACAATGTTGAGCGTATGGAATTACAAAGAAGTTGCTAATTACAAATTAATAGCACTTTAATGCATAATTACTAATTGCTAGTTAAGTAGAAATTACTTTATCCACTGAAAAAGTAAAGTAAGGGATTATTGTGACTTTTTCGGTAGTTTATTTCCAGTTATGTATGTAGTACTTTTCTTAAATATTGATAAATAATAGTTCTGCATTCAATAAATCAATTAAGAGAAGCAGAGTAATTGTATGGTTTTGTTTTACAGCTATGCTTTGGAGAAACATTATTTATTTTATTAAAGATTGATACATTTATCAGGATTATTGCACATGCTTATTAAACAATGAATTGAGCCAGAAATCAGTCAGTGACAATACATGGTATGCTTGAAATATGGTGTCTTTGCTTTTAAAAAAGGTTGACTTTTTTGTGCAATTCTTCTCTTTAGAGCAATTCTTTTTGTAAACTAATGAATGCTATTTTTGTTAATAAAATGAAATAAGTGTTATTTTTAAAATAAAGCTAAAATGTCATGCCTTAGACACAAATTTTGAGGAATTAATATTGTCTGTGTGCTTAGATTTAATGATTTTAAGTATACCTTTCAGTCAAGTACTTACATTTAAATAATTAAATATTATTAATAATTAAAAATACATAATTTTTCAAAAAAAATTACCCTTGTAAGAAAAAGATATGAACACATTTCTGATTTATTTTTACTTGTATCTATTGTGTTGTTGTTATTATTGTTAATGATATATTTGTGGTGGCGGTAAAACAAAAATATAAATAAAATTGAACAGGAATGAAATTCAGTGTGTAACCCAGAATTCCAGTACTATTAAATTATGACTGAATTGATTCAATTTGAGGAAGGTTTTGTTGTTTTTGTTTTGTTTTTTCATTAGCATTTAAATTGCAAATGAATTTAAATATTTTTGGGTTGGAAAAACATTTTCAGTTTACGAACATAGGTCCGAATTCCTCACCGTTGATGTGACTCTTCTTTTAATCTTTCTCAAACAAAATAGTAAACAAACTAAAAAATAAAAGCTTGATTAAAGATAACACTTTTATTGCATGCATTGCACACAAACATGTACAAACACAAACTGTATGCTGAAAAATTTAAATATTTGTGAACAATGAATCTTACAATCAATCTGGACCAGAAGCACTGTTGATTTATAATGTGCTACTGAATGTTTGTGTGGCGAGTAGTTTTTGAACAGGGCAGAAAGTGCTCTGTGTCACTGTGACTCTCTGGCGCAATAATACACAGCTGTGTCCTCAGTCTGCATATTCTGTCCACTCAGAGTCACGCTGCTGCTTGAAGAGTCTCTGCTAACTGTGAATCTACTTTTCAGTTTATCACTGTAATATGTGTTACCACTACCACATATTGCCCCAACCCATTCCAGAGCTTTTCCTGCAGCCTGTCGTATGAAGTGAGTGCAGTATCTCTCAGTCACTGAATATCCAGATATTTTACAAGACAGAGTCACAACCTGACCAGGCCTCAAGACAATAGAATCTGTCTGAATTAGTTCAACACAGTGGACACCTGAGAAAGAAATATGTCCTGAAAGGTTAGAGATGTGAAAACATTTTGTATAATTTAATGGTTTCTATAGACACTGAAGACTTACGAGGGACCGCTGCAAGAAGCAGAAATAAGCAGAGAGATGAGGCGATCATGGTTTCAGACGTTTGAGAACAAGATGCTGCTTTCCATTACAACACTTAATAAAAGAGGAGGAGGAAGATTTGCATACAGTTATGCACACAGTATGTTCCACCGTAAATAACTTTTCACATGTCTATTTACAGTTGATATATACACTACTCTTTGATACACAGTTTTGTAGTATAAGCTTTTTGGGTGAGAGCGAGAAAGGCTCCGTTCCCTGGACAGCCCTGTCTTAATTTTCTGAAGACCAAGAACACACAGTGTGACAAGTCAAATTTGCTAATTAACATTTTGATGTTTGCAGATTTGCAATAGTTCATTGTTAAATTGTTTTTTTTTTAAATACTAGGTACAGTATGTACAGTATGAATCCGAAGTGCAGCCACAAATAAAATGCAGCCATATTACACTTTACTTCTTTAGTTCATTTAATGAGTGCTTTTATTTGCAATACAATATTCAAGTATGTATATCATAAAATAAGAAATTATGAAAACAAATCTAATCATCTAAGGTGGCAATGTAACTGTAGGTGGTTCACATCTGTTATAGGTCTTCTTGACTTTAATTACAATGAAAAAATAAGTATACAATTCACTGACTGATGCAGAAATCAGACATACTGACCAGAAATCATACAAACCAATTATATTTACATTTGAGCCTAACACAATCAAAAAGAAAGGAAAGTCATTGTCACATGAACGAGAGGATTTTATTGACTTCTAACTAAACAAATTACATTTTATTTGTGAAGACTTGTTAAAATCTTAAGGGAGAAAAGAAAAAGAATCCTGTAAATTCTACAATTATGATGGTTTTTTTGTAAAGGGAGGCTGCTGTCATCTGTCACTGTGTACGTCTGGCACAATAATACACAGCTGTGTCTTCAGCTTTCACATTCTTTCCTTGCAGTGTTATTGTGTTACTGGAAGTGTCTCTGGTGATGCTGAACTTGCTTTTTAGAGAATCCTTGTAGTCTAAGTTGCCATTATAGTAGATCACTCCAATCCACTCCAGAGCTTTTCCTGCAGGCTGACGAATCCAGGCTGTGCTGTAGTCTGTGACTGAATATGAGACTTTGCAGTTGATAGTGAGAGAGTCATCAGGACGGACAGTCAGAGAATCAGACTGAGTGAGTTCATATGAATCAACACCTGTATCAAATAAAATACTACAGTTAGTAAGACAGTGTCAAGTTTAAAGACTGTTAAAAGTGTTTTAGAGACAAAAACTCACAGGATACTACTGCCAGAAACAGCACTAGAGATGAAGAGATCATGGTGTTTCACAGCTCAGTTTGACTGAACCAAAGTGTATCTTCTCTTCCTCCAGTGGTCAGATCAGTGTATAAATATGCAACAGATGATTTACATAGACACACAGCTGCTACCCATTTAAACATGCTAAAACATGCATGTTAGTGTTTATATAATTTACTGCACTTGACTTTAAACATGCTTTGGACATTAATAATTGACATAATGGAAAAGGATGTATTTTCTTTTTTTTCTCTCTCTCAATTTGGATTAAGTGTTTGATTAACTGATATACTGTACTAATAATGAACATTTTACACTAATGATTGCAGTACATACAGTTCTGTTGTATCTAAATCAAAAAGTTTGGTAACTTACAGTTCTCCTGCAGTCTTACCAACACTGACTCACATAATTAATACACCTCTTGACTCTCCTGCAGTCACACCAACACTGACTCACATAATTAACACATCTCTTGACTCTGGTTTATTCCCCACTTCATTTAAGCAGGCTAGGGTAACCCCACTGCTAAAGAAACCCAACCTGGACCAAACGCTACTTGAAAACTACAGACCAGTATCCCTGCTTCCATTCATGGCCAAGATACTGGAGAAAGTAGTGTTCAATCAAGTCCTGGATTTCCTTACTCAAAACAACCTCATGGACAACAAGCAATCCGGCTTTAAGAAAGGCCACTCAACTGAGACTGCCCTGCTCTCGGTCGTGGAGGATCTCAGACTGGCTAAAGCAGACTCTAAATCATCAGTCCTCATCTTGCTGGACTTGTCAGCTGCTTTTGACACTGTAAACCACCAGATCCTGCTATCTAGCTTGAGTCACTGGGCGTTGCGGGCACTGTTATACAATGGTTCAGATCTTACCTCTCTGACAGGTCATTCAGAGTGTCTTGGAGGGGAGAGGTGATCAACCTACAGCATCTAAACAATGGGGTACCTCAAGGTTCTGTTCTTGCGCCACTTCTCTTCTCCATCTACACGACATCTCTAGGACCAGTCATCCAGAGACATGGATTCTCCTACCACTGCTATGCTGATGATACCCAGCTATACCTCTCTTTTCACCCTGCTTATCCCTCGGTTCAAGCTCGCATCTCAGCCTGCCTGTCGGATATTTCACACTGGATGAAAGATCATCATCTTCAGCTTAACCTCGCGAAAATGGAAATGCTTGTAGTTTCTGCCAACCCGACTCTACACCATAACTTTTCAATCCAGATGGATGGGCCAACCATTACTGCATCCAAAATGGTGAAAAGCCTTGGAGTAACGATTGATGACCAACTAAACTTCTCTGACCACATTTGTAGAACTGCTCGATCTTGCAGATTCGCACTCTATAACATCAGAAAGATCCGACCCTTCTTATCTGAACATGCAGCTCAACTCCTTGTTCAAGCTCTTGTTCTCTCCAGACTGGATTACTGCAACTCTCTACTAGCGGGGCTTCCAGCTAACTCTATTAAGCCTCTTCAACTGCTCCAGAACGCAGCAGCACGAGTGGTCTTCAATGAACCTAAACGAGCACATGTCACTCCGCTGCTCATCCGTTTACACTGGCTGCCAGTTGCTGCTCGCATCAAATTCAAAGCTCTGATGTTTGCCTACAAAGCGACTTCTGGCTTTTCTCCTTCTTATCTGCTCTCACTGCTGCAGATCTATGTGCCCTCCAGAAACTTGCGTTCTGTGAATGAACGTCACCTCATGGTTCCATCCCAAAGAGGGAAGAAATCACTTTCCTGAATGCTCGCGTTCAATCTGCCCAGTTGGTGGAATGAACTCCCTAACTGCATCAGAACGGCAGAGTCACTCGCTGTTTTCAAGAAACGACTAAAAACTCAACTATTTAGTCTCCACTACACTTCCTAATCTGCAATTGCCTCTCTGGATATACCACTAACTGTACTTAAAAAAAAAATTACTAATGCTTTCCTTTTTAGACTTTACAGACCTGAAACTTGCCTATAGCACTTATTCATTGTTGCTCTTATAGTTGTGTATATTGCTTCTCTGTCCTCATTTGTAAGTCGCTTTGGATAAAAGCGTCTGCTAAATGACTAAATGTAAATGTAAATGTAAATGCACACAACAATACAGGTCTAGTAATATTTGGTCAAACCGAAGCCATGTATTTTGACTGCCAGTCTGCTTTAATAATCATTAACTAATGATTTGCAAAGGTATACTATATATGACTACGATATATGACTTTGTTTATGCACAGACAGAACAAACTACTTTTAATATTTATGCTATTGGTTAACAGTCATTTTTGTCAACAAGTATAGTCATAACATAATGATACCTTCGCAAATCTTTATCTAATGATTAACTAAAGCAGAGATGCTGAAGTTGAAACACATACACTTTGACTGATTGGATAATTAACATATGAATTTACATCATTAGTTAATATAAAATATTATCAGGCAATTTATAGGTAAGGATATTGTGTCTTCTCATTGGGTTGTGTTTTATAGATTTTTCATTCTCTGCTGCCACCTGTTGATGTCCAGTGACCAGAGATAAAACACTCACAATGGTTATTGTTCTGCTCTACAAGATCTTTGTGTCACTGTGATTGTCTTGCGCAGTAATACACGGCTGAATCTTCTGCTGTCAGGCCTGATAGTTTCAGATAAGTCATACTCTTTGAATTATCTCGGGTGATTTCAGCTCTACTTTTGAAGGATTCAGCATAGCTATAGTCAGTGCTGTCATAAACACGTCCAATCCACACAAGAGGTTTTCCAGCTTGTTGTCTGATCCAGTGCATGTTATAGTAGCTAAAGCTGAACCCCGATCCTCTACATGATAGAGTCAGAGTTTCTCCAAGCTTTCTCTGAACTGAGCTTTCAATCGACTCCATACTTTGACATTTTATACCTAAAAAGAAAAGACTGATTTAATTTGCAATTAGTTTATACTAGAACTGATAATAGATATGTGTTTTATAAGAAAACTCACGCTGTAAACTGAATGAGAGCAGCAGTAAGCAGAGGGCATTCTTCATCTTGAAGCTGCTCATGTAAATGATCCTGATCCAATCAGAAGCACTTAAATACTAAACAGATGAGCAGAGTTTATTAAATTTGCATTGTGATGGTCTTAAAGTGCATTCATGACTGAAAAGCAAAGTATTTAATACAAAAAAATGATAAACCATTTCCAGTGTAAGTGATTATAAAAAAAAATAAATAAAGACAATCAAGTTAATCAAAATTATGTACAATTCAGAATCATCATCATTTTTGTTTACTGTTATTTTATAAAATATTATGTAAATAGAATGCAAATTGATAAATGCATTTTCAACATTTTTTTTTATTTTCTTTTTCTTTTCTGTACAGGGTAGCATACCTGAACTTTATGTATTATTCCTGTGTTAAGATTACGTAGTGCGAAGTGAGAAGTTTTTACTGCAAGTCTCATTAAGGGAGGTCTGGAGTGTGTGCTTATGTTCTGTTCTGTTGGTGTTGTGCAGGTGACAAGAGAATCCTCTGCTATGCATTGCTAAATGTTTTTTTTTTTAAGTCCTGAGTCCTGACATTCTTCTGATCATTACATTGTTGCAACAATAATGTGGTGTTTGTATGGAACACAGTGGACTCTTTTCAAACAACTGAATGAATATGTACAATATGCATTTATTTGATTTTCATGACAGAGTTAAGTGATTCATGCAGTTTTAAAGTGAAAAAATTATATACATATACAATAGTGTGTTTGTACAGGGAGGCTGTTGCCATCTATCACTGCATGTCTGGCACAATAATACACAGCTGTGTCTTCAGCTTTCACATTCTTTCCTTGCAGTGTTATTGTGTTACTGGAAGTGTCTCTGGTGATGCTGAACTTGCTTTGCAGAGAATCCTTGTATCTAAGCCTCCAAAAGAGTAGATAACACCAATCCACTCCAGAGCTTTTCCTGCAGGCTGACGAATCCAGGCTGTGTGTTCACTAGTGACTGAATATGAGACTCTGCAGTTGATAGTGAGAGAGTCATCAGGACGGACAGTCAGAGACTCAGACTGAGTGAGTTCATATAAATCAACACCTGTATCAAATGAAATAATGCAGCTAGTAAGACAGTGTCAAGTTTAAAGACTGTCAATAAACAGCTGTTAAATGTATCACGAAGAGAAGTAGATTAAACTCAAAGAATACTACTGCCAGAACCAGCACTACAGATGAAGAGATCATGGTGTTTCAGAGTACAGTTTGACTGAACTGAAGTGAATTTTCTCTTCCTCCAGTGATCAGATCAGTTGATCAGACTTTTTAAATATGCAAAGATGATTTTCATAAGCACACACCACAGCTAAACCAACTCTGTGTTAAAAAAATATTTTTTTCTAATAACGATTATAATTATTTTTTAGGTCTTGTCCAGTCTTTTCCAGAAATTAAGCTGAAGACTCAGTTTAATATCTCACTGTAAAATGTGTACATGGTAAAATCAATCAACAGAGTTGAAGTACTCAGATCTGCTTTTGTCCTCTTTAACATTTGACCTTTTATGGTGTATTTCACTGTAATTTCAACTGTTCACTGTGACCGAGCAAGGATTGTTCATTCTCTGCTGCCACCTGTTGATCTCCAGTGACGAGAGATGAAACACTCACAGTGGTTTTTGTTCAGCTCTACAAGATCTTTGTGTCACTGTGATTGTCTTGCACAGTAATACATGGCTGAGTCTTCCGCTGTCAGGCCTGATAGTTTCAGATATACCATACTCTTTGAATTATCTCTGGTAATTTCAGTTCGGCCTTTGAAAGATTCAGCATAGTTTTGGCTAACACCACCATTAGAAACATATCCAATCCACACAAGAGGTTTTCCAGCTTGTTGTCTGATCCAGTGCATGCTACAGCAGTCAAAGCTGAACCCAGATCCTCTACAGGACAGAGTCAGAGTTTCTCCAGGCTTCTTCTGAACTGAGCTTTCAATCGACTCCATATTTTGACATTTTATATCTAAAAAGAAAAGACTGATTTAATTTTCAATATGTTTTTTTCCAGAACTGTC